GAGGAGTAATGAAACAAAGGAATATCAGTGCTGCAGTGTATGAGTAAGGAAACATCACTGTAGATTGTGAGGAGTAATGAAACAAAGGAATATCAGCGCTGCAGTGAATGAGTAAGGAAACATCACTGTACTGTAGATTGGATGGAGTAATGAAACAAAGGAATATCAGCGCTGCAGTGAATGAGTAAGGAAACATCACTGTACTGTAGATTGGATGGAGTAATGAAACAAAGGAATATCAGCGCTGCAGTGAATGAGTAAGGAAACATCACTGTAGATTGGGTGGAGTAATGAAACAAAGGAATATCAGCGCTGCAGTGAATGAGCATGAATATACCATCACTTTAGATCTGGGGGGGGGCAGTATGGTAAAGGAATATCAGCGCCGAAGTGAGTGAGCATGAATTCACCGTCACTTTAGATGTGGGGGGGGGGGCAGTATGGCAACAGAGGAATATCACCCATGTGGCAGCACAGTGCACTGCGAATGACGCATTTCAGCTTTTTCATAAGGTCAGAGTGACGTGGGAATGCTTTTCCTGAAATAAAATATCATCAAAATCGGGATGAGCTTCCCATCGGAGTCCAGCTTCAGGACAGCTGCCACACAGCCCCAGAGCAAAGCCTCAGCTGGTAAAGCAGACAGCAGCACAGCCTGCTATGCCCCGACCCCCCAGTTGAGACGCACCTCTGTATTGACAGCCTCGGAGAAATCCTTGGCCAGCTTGTTGAACAAAACGGCACCGATGGAGGACAAACCAGGAGGCAGGTTCTGCTGATGCTCCAGCTCTGAAAGAAGGTGAGGAACCAGGGCAAATTAAATTGAACTGCAGGACCTGTGGGTCTGAGGTCACGCATCCAGCAGCTGGTGTTTCACACCTTCAACACAGACAAACATTATCCTGACATGCCTTCTATTATTTGTTAATGTCTGTTTAACCAGCATGAGTTTAGGTATCATTCCCATTCTGCTTTGAATGAATCTGAAGATAGCATCTGAACAGGTGGACTTGGTGCACGTGCTTATCCTCCACCCATGGCAAGAGAAGCCCAGGACAGAGTATGGAGAGACTCCACCCTTAAGCTGCCAGCCACCAGCACATGCAGTCTGAGGAGGCATGGCTGCCTCGTGTGCACCCCCATCTGATGGGGAATATCTTCCCCCCCATCGCAATGACGATCCTTTGATGCTGGACACCAGGTATGGCAATGACAGTGGCTTATGTTATACAGGCGGTCATATAAATTTAAGTGAACAATTATTAAAAGGCTGCTTCAGCCAGTTTTTATGAAGAGTATCATGACCTCAGTGAAGCGGAAAGGAAGTAAAGCAGCAAGAGAGTGCAGTCAGGTATCAGGAGCCGAGCCGGCAACATTGCCAAGCATCACCTTGTATGACAGTCTTCAGGACGAATTCGCCGTTATTCACGCTCACCAGGGGTCCCTTCAGGACAACCTTCCCCTAAAAGAGGGGAAAGCATTAAGCA